GAGAGGGGGGGAAGGGGGGGGCGGGAGAAGAGAGGGGGACGTGGGCGCAGAGACTGGCAAATTAGTATTACTCTCCATGGCAGGCCGTAAACGCTACGGGCAGACCCCTCGCCGGTGTCGCCTGCCCACTTCTGTGGGGCTCCTCTGGTGCAGCTTTACCCTCTGTCGTCAAGGGGGGGGGCGGGGGGGGGGGAGGGAGGGGGTACATTAGCTTGATGGGTTTCTCTCCCCCCCCCCCCCCCCCACCAACCCGCCCAAACCCCCCGTGGAGGCTGCAAAGGCCACCCAAAGGCCAAGTCCCACTTGGCCGGATTCTTCTTTTCTGTTCAGCCGTTGATGTTCGTTTATTAATAATTTACGGTCAGTCGGAAATCGACAAAAAAAAAAAGTGAATTCAGGTGAGTGGCAATTGCCCCCCCGAGGCTGCGAAGGAGCATCGCCCCACCACTCTCGAAATGTGCAAAAATGAGAATGAACTTCCCGCTAGAGCATGGCCAGATGCACCTGTCACAATTTTGTCTTTTCACATTTCGCGAGTGGGGTGGCGATGCCCGAGGTCAGCCGAAAAGAAAGGGCTGAAAAAAAAAGAAAAAAAAAGAAAAGAAAGGGCTGCCAGTGTTCGCTGCTCGCCTGAGCGCGACCCAATCTCATCATGAACGTACGGAACCAATCTCATCATGAACGTACGGAACCGGAAAGGTAGCTTGTATACATACACACATTCGTGATCGGGGTTTGTTGTGTTGCGACGACGACGACGACGACGAAGGCCGCAAGCAGTCGGGATCCCATCCTCGCTACAGTACTCGCTGCACAACTCTCAGGCCTGGAAAACGCCGAGCGTAAAACTGGACGACAAAGTACAGCAGACTGTCGGGACGGGATCCCATCCTCCTCCTTATGCACCAGTGTGCTGGGATCCCATTCCTCCTCATGAAACGGTGCGTTGGGATCCCCATCCTCCATTCTTATGAACCGGTGAGATCTTCAGAGGAAGCAGGATCTCCTTGCACAAATTCCCAAGCCTGGAAACTGCTGACTGTTTTTCTTCCCGTTGAATTTGGACACTTTCTTTCCTTTTTCCTTTTTCCTTTTTTTTTGTTTTGTTGTTTTCCGCCTTTGCGCGCCGATTCACAGTGTGACAATGTATATCTTTACGGAGTTGAAGAAAGAAGAAAGAAAGAAAAAAATGAAAAAACGAAAAAAAAGAAGAAAAAGAAAGAACAAATTGCCGAAGAAAAGAGAAAATAAAATAAGAAAAAAATAAGAAATATGTTGGAGTTTGTTGTGACAGTGGCAATTGGTTTATCTGTGGGATGTGTCATCTGCTTTGTTTGACTGATAGACCTTCATCTTCCCTTGTCCTTTCTTTGACTGGATCCCCCCTTTTTTTATTTATTTATTTAGAAATCAATTTTGCAGTTCATTAGAAAAGAAGGGGGAGGCCTGGAATCCCTCCACAATCAACCCGGAAAATAGGTATCCTCTGGGCCCATTACCCAGTTTATGGTGCAGGCGTTGGGAATTATAGTCCAGAGGCCAAATCCAGACCGCTGCCCTGACATTTCCCCAACCCTGGGAATCAAAAGTAAAATTGCCTTCACGGCCCACAGAGCCACACAATGCTAAAATGAAAGAAAAGCCAAAGTCCAACGAACTTTCTTTCTTTCTTTCTTTTTTTTTTTTTTTTTTTTTTTTTTGGGAGGGGGGGAAAAAAACTATATTCGTAACAAGATATATGAGCAAGTCACACGGAATCCTATTTCGCTGCGCTATCTACTGGATCCCTTTCTCTTTCTCTTGGCTCTGTGAGGTTTGGTTTCCTCCTACTTTTCTTTACCTCTTTGCCTTTTGGCTGCGTGCAAGTGGGAGTGGGTCCTTGTGACACACGGGGATGGGGGCAGCCAGTGCTCAACCTGTCATCCACGTGGCTGGCCTTGTGTTCGTAAGATGTGATGAACAGGCGGAGCTTTCCTTCTTTCCTTTTTTTTGTTTTCTCTTTTTCCGCCTCTGCTCTCCGATTCACAGTGTGACAATATATCTATATATTTATCTATATCTATTACATCTATCTATCTATCTATCTATCTATCTATATCTCATAGCGCACATTTTGCAATGACTAATTACTACCATTTGCAATGATTAATTACTACCATTTGAAATGATAAATTTCTACCATTTGCAATGATTAATTACTACCATTTTGCCATGATTAATTTCTACCATTTGCAATGATTAGCTACCACAATTTGCCATGATTAATTACTACCATTTGCAATGATTAATTACTACACTCTTCCCCTGAACACAACCACACACCCTCATCACGAATATATGTGGCTCGTTCATTCTCTCCTCCTCCCAGTCCCCCTTCCTCTCTACGTCGTGTTGATGCTATGTCTTACCACGTGGACAGCCTGCTCTGCCACGTCGACGGCGTTCGTCATTTACGTGCCGATCCCGCCAGATCAGATCTGGCTTTCCGATGGTGACAGATTCGGATCTGCGGGCAGACCTACCAAAAATACTTGCGGTTTGACAGCCACAAATGTCTGCTGCTTCCCATTTTGTTACGATTGCTTATCAGCTTGACGCTGTTGAAAATCAGTTGTTGTATGATCATAACAGTCCACCTCCTGAGGGTAGGGAGCAACTATATTCTACCTCAGGAGGCTTTACTATAAATGTCTTACAGTTAGCGTTCCATGGTCGCCACCTTCTTGTTATGCATCATGCGACGCTAGGCGATGACCTTAATGACCCTCCTCATATTTCTGCCTGTATTTTACACAGACCTTAATGGGCATTATATGGCACTCATTCGTGCAGCTGCCSAGTGGGAACTGTGGGATGGTGGGACGATGAGTCAGGTCATTTTCAGCGTAAATGATTTTTTGCGTGCATTGGCGAATCATACTTTATTCTGGATTATTGACCGACTCTCGTGTGACACCTGTCGGGACAGAGACGCGGTGCGCCTTGGCTGTGGAATGCATCATCTATGCCATAGCTATTATCAATCTATTGCGACTGCCGCCATCTGTACTGAAGGGTGTCCAACATTTCCTCATTGTATACATCCCTATCACCCAGATATACGTTGTCCCTWTTGTGCCCAAGGACGCTATCAGAACTGCATGATGCCGCACTGTGATGAACGCCAGCTGTTTTTTTGACATGTGGACAACGTCCTCTGTCAGGACTGTTTTGATGGGATGGTTCGTGCTAGCCGTCCTGCTGAATGCTGTGCTGCCGCAGCTCTCCTTGGGTAATCTTGTGAACATCCACATCATCCTCACCGTAGCTGTCCTATCTGCCAAGGTGGGGACAGATAAAGCCTTCCACACTACCGACAGATATGGAGTTAAACAAAAAAAAAGGAAAAAAAGAAAAAAAGAAAAAAGAAAAAATATGTTGATATGTGGGATGTGTTATTTGCTTTGTGGCAATTGGATTATCTGTGGGATGTGTCGTTTGCTTTGTTT